GTTTAGAGGATATTCCAGATTTTCACTACACAGTGTGATATTTCAAACTTCCACAAATATGTTAACATCATACTAGAAATGTCTTATGATTGAAATTATCATAAACAAAAATTAACTGCAACTGTATAATTTTAGAACTGATGGTATTTACTTTAATATAGTTACTTTCTGCTTTTTGATTAATTATACTTACAAATTCAAAATAAAATGTATAACTTTATAAAAAATTTATAATTTAATAATATTTATTTATTCAAGATTTATAAAATATATTTCAAAATTAAAATGTTGTTATTAGGCATGGAGAAGGAAATATTTCCATTTTACACAAATTGTTCTTGACACTAATATTTAAATTGCTTTATTTCAATAACATTTTAAACTTAAATATCAGTAAACCTCCTGTTAGTTAATTAAATGGAATAAGAAAATCATATAAATATTAAACTGACATAGATATGGTTCTGTATTTTTGTCTTATGTAGTATTTTTATTTAGTAATAAACCATCATAAATTATGTGCAACATGATAAAATTACACTGTTTTGCGATTGCTTAGTTTTGATTTGCTGAGCCATATGTGTAAAGGAAAAGCTATGCTCAAAATGCTGCTCTGCAGATTTTATAGTTTATATAAAATGAGAGGACTTATAAGCTACTATATAAACTGCACCTTTGAATATTATTATTTATATGAAATGAAAGGAGTTATAAGCTACTTTATAAACATTGCACATTTGAAATAATGTGCAATGAGCTAGTACTATAAAACTCCTATTTCCGTTTTTGAAGATTATGCCACAAGTTTTCCTCGAGAATTCTGCTTTTGCAGTGAAAATTGGTTGCAAAATGCCTCCACAATATTATCTGTTTGAATACAATCATAGCTGAATGCATCAAAGTGGAGCCGAGCATTGCTGATTTGTGATAGCATTAAGATGATTTCAAAGAGTGTCATTGTCAGTTTAAAAACTTCTGTTCATATGCACAGTGGTAATTCTGAAAAGGAGTGTAAGGCTCTGTTCAGATAGTGATATAAATATCATAACTGGTTTAAATTGAGCTTCGTTGCTAGGTAATCAGACCTTGCTACATCACAAAAACTGGTTTAAGGGTTTTGGCATAAAGTTGAAGTTTTGTCAACTTTGTATAAGTAATTTTTTATGTAACAACTTTGTATTTTGTATAAGAGTCATTTAATCAGAGCGAACATGCAAAACCTATTAAGTGGGAAAGCTGTAGACACATCCACGCATACACAAATTCAGCTTCTTCAATTGGTTACAGTTTAGACCCTGTCTTGTAGGTGTGAACGGAACTTCCACATTTTAATTTCTTACGACTATGCCTCTATGACATTTATATCACTCTCTGAAGAGCCTAACAACAAAAGATGATGTGCATATTTTTGCTTTAACCAACAGAAACAAAAGCATAACACCTGTAAAAATTGCTGCAGACACTATAAATGCCAAAAGTACCCATGTATTATTTTAAACCATTTCCCATCAACTAAATTCTGTTTGGTTATGCCCAGAAGCTAATTAGATGTCTTGCACTATTATTGTGCCATTGTGAAACCAGACTGCAATGGCATAAGAAGCATCATCACTGTAGTTACTGGGACTAGTCAACAGAGACAATTTCATATGAATCTTTGTTTGCAATTAAAAATAAGTCTGGATATAAATAGTGTGGAGAGAACAAGAAACACAAAACTACCAACAGTATATCCAAGAAATTGACTGTAATGGTATCAGTGAGATAATAATGATGTAATGGTATCAGTGAGAATTCTGCATGAAACCAAAATACACTAGCATATCTTTGTATCAAGGCCCATGAAAACAGAAATATTTCTAGAACAATTTAATCTTTTCTGTCTTTCTGTACATGGGCAAACATGCTCTATGTATGAAGACTTTTGTGAGGTAACTTTTCTGTTACTTTTTTTATTATTGATTTTCAAAAAAAAAAAAAAAAAAAAACTTTAATATATTCATAAAATAATTAATGCAGTTTTGCTAAGAGAAATTTATAGTTATTATTAAAAAGTTTTCATTCTAAACTATTAATTTTTATAAATGAATAAAGCAATATTTCACTGAAACTCGTACAAACACTTTTGTGAGCCACTTTATGTATATAATCATAACACGAAGATGTTCAGGAGCCATTATTCTAGACAGGTAGACATTGATATACACTTTATCATAATCTATCTCATTTATATTCAGCTTTAATTATCACTATTTCTCATCATTACGTTCTGTGTAAATAAAGTTTCACATAGTTTCTCTGTTATTTATATTTATGAAATACAATATAATCGCAGAAGAAATGTCAAGTTGAAAATTTATTTAATTTATTGACGTATAAGCTTAAATTATGTAGAGATAGTTAATTTTATTTCCAAAAAATTAAACAAATAATATATTGTTACATTTCATATTTACACCAAAAGCAATTTTACAATAAATATGAAGAACACTGAAAACAGACAAGTCAAAAATTTGCAACACCAAAGTATGTAAAATTTTACATTTATGATAAAAGGATTAAAGAAAGCTTTATTTAATCTTCTCTTCAGCATAACAAGATGCTATCAGTGCTTAAAGTATCTTACTAACTATTGAAATTAATTTCACAATTAAACAGATAGATAAAAATGTCTACTGGTTTTAATTAACACCATTAACATACAGTTACAATCTTTTTGTCTTCTACTACACTACTATAAAAATATTCATACACCTTGTGAATAATAACATTTACATCAAATTCTGGAAATATCTATATAACTTGATATCAAAGTTCCATGTTGTTACCTGATACTGCATTATCAACTTAATATTTATCGAAATTTTAATTATAAACATCAAATGATACTCGCTGCATAAATTGTTGTGTGTTATTAAATTATATAATATTTTTTAAATTGAAGCTTTATATCAAAGTTTCATGTTACTTGAAACTGCATTATCATCGTAGTTAACATTTATTAAAATTTTAAGCATTAAACGCCAAATGATATCTACCGCAACAAATGCTATCGACATATAAATTTTTGTGTTATTAAATTGTATAATCCTTAAAAAATTTATTCTTTTATTAAACTAAAAAAAGCTCTTATATGAAATATGCTTATTTAATCTTTTTTCTTTGCATTCTTTTCCTTGAGGAGAAAAAATCTGTAACTTACAGATTTCCTTTCTACATGAAATTATTTGTGATTTGAATAGTACATACAGTGCATCACTTATAATGCCACAAATTCTTTATTCAAATTTTTGAACAAAATATTACATATCAAAAATTGTTTGATATATTTTGCAGTTGAACTATACTATACATAGAAATACGTTATGATACTATTTGAGCCTTAATGCATGCGAAACTCTTAGATATTTATTAGGTTATCTGCAAACCTATAGTAGTTTTACTATATCACAAATGTTACCATGTGAAAACAATTGTCTGCAGATAATCCAAGTATCATTAATATTTGGTTTAAACAACAGTTTATTGTGTTTTTTTGCACTCATATTGTCTAAAATCAGCCTAACTGAATCTGAACACATTAGAACATCACAGATATAAAATACGATATTTCTACAGGAAAAGCTGCCTTGTTTCAAGTAGCATAAGATTTATTCACACTAATTTTAAAAAAGGGGGGAGAGGAAGAATATACCAGGGATCTACAAATTGTTTCAAATTATGAGACACTTTAGAACTAATTCAGGATATGTAATAAAATTTTAAAATGTTTTAATTAAACCCACTGTAAAAATATTAATAATGCACTGAGAAGAAAATTTTAACAAACATACTATCATAAATTATTAAGGAAATCTACACTAAGTCTTTTTAACTAACATCTGGTTTTAATTTACTTATTAAAATTTCTATACACATTGGCTAAGTATCCAAAAACTTTCACAAGTCACTTATTACTATGGAATTAATATAGGAATAACCTGAACACATATACATTCAGCAGTTTCAGATCTCATAAATTTACCTATTTTAATATATCCTCAATGCATAAAAATAATTCCCTGACCTCTGTGAAATTAAATATATACAATGCTTAGTTGATTATTTCTCTGATTCTTTATTAAAAATAGCCACATCAAACCTCATTCTCAGACAAACAGGTAATATATGCTACATTTAGTAGAACAAATGTAAGCAAAGGACATTTGTTCAATATGTAACTGAAGCTTCTCTAAATGTTTTATATTGTTCAGGAAATAGTTCTCTTTTTCACCAGCAGAATATAAAAACTTGAGCAAAAGTTAACAGAAGGAAGCCTTCATATGAGCAGAGATGAAGTCTTAATTCAGAAAAAATTTTCAATTATTTTATTCATGGTTAGGTTATAATTTATTGAGATAACACCTAGGATTTGTAGACCCCTGGCTTGTTCTGCAGAAAATAAATAAATATAGATAGCATTTCAAAGTGTTAGCTTCTTAAAGCATAAACAGGATAAAATTTTATATGCACTTTGTTTGTTTTCAAAATTTTCAGTGCGAGTCTACAATTTCTTAAGAGACAGTTCTTAAGTCCAACTTCATTTACATTTCAGTTACTATATTTAAGCATACTGCACATGTTAGTATTTAAAAATCTATATCCATTTGGAATTTAAACTGAATAAAAATGAAGATTGTATTTACTTTTAGCATTTTTAATCATTGTTCAGTTAATAACAAAAATTCTGACTATTTATTCATATTCATGCTAAAATTATTATGAAATATTTAACATTTTGCCACAATAAATATATTACAATAATCTTTTACAGAGTTAATTTTCCCTTCTTTAGAAAAGAAATCATTTCCCCCCCCCCATCCACAACTGGAAATTTTCATTAAACATGAAATTTAAATATACAGAAAACAGCAAAAAATAATAATGTAAGGTAAACTATCAGTGAATATATGTATATATAATAAAAATAATTCATTTTTCTACTTAAATATAAAATGCATGATAAATGGAAGACAGATAAAATAGAAATAATAATGTAAACTTAGAAAAATTAATATACATATAAAAATGAAATTTAACTTTTATTATGTATGCACAAATAAAGAGAAAATAAAATAAAATACAGGATAATATTTACATCAAAGTTTATACTACAACAAAAGCTTGTTTTTTATATTGTACACAATCAAATATTTGCATGGAAATAAACAGAAGTTATAACATTTCATATATTTTTATGGTTGGGATTATTTAAAATAAAATATGCAAATTTATTCAAATATACTTGAATAAATTCATGCTATTACTGCACTAACTTTCTTATAAATAGGCTTATCTGCATGCATAGAAGTATATTATTACATAAAGGTACTATATTAAAGATGATTTGTGGATATAAGTTGAAAGATTTTGCTAACTTTTACAGCAGATATTGTAAGAATGTTGCTAAGACTAGGGGTTTGTTAAAGATCTAACATATGATGCACAGAACAGGCTCAATAACTTTCAGAACACAAGTTTTCTTAATATTAGAAGCTAGTTCAATTCTTAAGAATAATCTAAATAATGTTTCATAAAAGCAATATTCAACTATATACAAGTTATACAAATACATTTCACTTTCATGAAACTGATGACATAAGATCAAACATTTTACAGGACAAAATAAAATCTCTGAACACATATGTTTTTATCCCTGCACATATTTAAATATCTTGAAATAAAATAGCGCATACAAAAACTGTTTTTTAGCAGGATAAATGATGCAATTATTACTGAATGCTTCCCATGTAGTAATGTTGTACTAATGTGTAACTTTTCAACTCCTTTAAGCCAGGCAAAATACTTAAAGAATATTTTTTAATTTTTACAGATACCTTAAATAATGGCAGTGTTTTACACTTTTTGTAACAATTTTAATGAAAAGTAGTTTATAATTCAAGAAAACTTTCTAACCACTTCCATATGAAACTTTCAAGAGAAACCTGCTCCATTTTTAGCACTTTGTGTATTAATCAAAACAATCAGGAACAAGGATGGCCAGTTAATTAAACATAAATGTCTAAATCAAAAACGTTCTGCTCCTCCCAATTATTTCCCATTACTTCTGATCAAAATAAATATCATTCACTGAGAATTAACCACTTTACAGTATTTGTCAAAAAGATTGCTACAAGTATATTAAAAATCACATGCAGACACAATAGAACTTATGCTGCATATTATACCTTCCTCATCAGAAGGTATATTTCTCATTTACAAGCTAACAAAATCTCTACATCAGTCATATATGTAAATATGCCTTTTTAAATTCATTATCAATAATTTGATAATATTTTACATAGTGTCTTTAAATTCAAAAGTATTTATTTACTTAGCAGAAACTTCTCCATAAAGCCTGTGCTTCTGATATTTATTCACAGTTTTTTCTTAATATGTGTTTGATCCACATGCATCAAATTATCTTAAATCTTAAAGTTTTGCTAAAATACATTAATTCACAAAAAATAAAACATAAACAAAGGTTTCTATTTGAGCTTTGTTACAATACACAAGCACTTGAAACATGAAAATATATTTAGAATCATTTTACAAAGTTCAAGCAGTCTTTAAGTGAAAATTTTTCTTTGGAAAAATTTGCTTTTTTAGGAAATATTGAAATAGCATGCTAATTCCACCTGGCTGGAATGACCAATCGCACTTTTCATTTGTAACTCTCCATTATGAATCACCAAGCTTCCAACAGATTTGCATTATAAATTACTAGAGATTTAATTGATATTCTTACGAATATATTAAATTTGATCTTTTTTAAACTTATGGAAATATTACACATGAAAAGGACATTCATGTTAAATGTTTGTTAAAAAATTATGAATTACATGTCATCAAATTTCTTATTAAATATTTAAAGTTTTGTATTAAAAAACTATTTACATTTGAAATAAATTTTTATATTTGTAGTATAAAAAAGCTGAAGCAATTTATTTGATTTAAATATGGAATGCATGCCCTTTTTTAATAATTCAAGAAAGGAAAATATATGGACAGCTATGGAATGCATGCACTGTCATAAAACAATGTATATTTTGCAAATTAAACACCAGTGCAATGTTTAAAAAACTATACTACTACCACTATATTTGTTTGTATTTATTCTATAAAAAAAGAACTGTTAATTTCTTTATATATTTCGAGAATACTTAAGCAGATATATTTTTCTTTAGGATTTCTTCATGAGAATACAGAAAATACGCAGTTTTCCTTTCTAAATACATTATATGCAAAACACATATTTAAGAAAAAATGAAACAATATACAAAATACTATATTACAGATATTTATCAGAAGATTTAATTGCTAGAGTGAAATTAACATTCAATATGCATACACAAAGTAAATATAGATACCAAAGAACAAACTGAATCAAAATCAGTGGTACATATATAGGTATGCATATATACACACATATATAATACATACCTATATAGAAATCAATTTAAAACATAAATACATTATGCAAATCAAATTTATGGTATAAAATATGCCAGTTGAAATATTACAATATAATAAATTTATCATACATATTATCAGTTAATTACAAAATGTGCAAGAATGCAGGCAATTAAATATTTTATAATTTGTATCATGCAAAGTAAATGACATTAAATCTTCCTTTATTTCTATGTCATAACTATGAATTTGGTGAAATTAATATATTTTAAGTGAAAGAATTATCACAATTTAATGCAAAAATAATTTTTTTAAAAATGCACTACAAAATTTTACAATCAACTGTTCTAGTTTTTTAACTCTGCTTCAGAGAATAACCTGGACAGTATATGCTTTAGTTTTTTAACTACACAGACATGTCATTCACAGAATTAATTATGGAAGCAAACAGAGGATAGTCAATTAAAAAGATCAGTTTTTAAGAGATGAAAATAAATAATTTTTAAAATCATGCTTTTGAAAATGAAATTCCAGCCTTTGGGATGATCCACTGGGTATCTGATGTTTTTCTCCTGATATTTATTTTATTATATTCATGTTAAAATAAACGAAAGAAAATTATGGAAATAGCAAGTACTAAAGATGATGAAACCAAACCAGAAGCACGGCCTATTACAGATGCTGTTTGTAATGCATGTGTTGCATATTTCACTTCTTCAGAAAAGGGACCATATCCAGCTGCATTCACTGCTGCAGCACGAATGATATAATCAGTGTTAAAACTTGTGTTTCTTAATACATATGATTCACCTGAAATAAATAAATATAAAAATCAATTTGGAAAGAAAATTACAAAAATAATCAACGTAAAATATAACTGAGCATCAAAGTTATAAAAATAATAATCAGATAAAGAGTTACAATTATTTACACATTTCATAAAATGTGTCCAATTAAAACTATACACTGATCTAAATATTCCTCTAATTTTTATCCATATACTCAGAAATAATTTAAATTTGAGAAATAAATAAATAATGAAACTTTTATTATTTCAACAGAATTCTAATCTGCACACCTCTTTACAAAGGACAATATTATAGGTCATGTCTTTCCCAGTTTTGTTTAAACTTTTCATTCTGTAATTTTCATTAAACCTTAATTATTTGCACATAACTAACTAAAATACATTCATACTTTAAGCATTATTTGATCAAAATTTATTAAATAAAAAAAGAAAAATCATGACTTTTAAATATAATTACATATAAAGAAAATACTGTGAATAAACATAGTAAAAGCAAAGGAAATGGTGGTGGAAGTGAAATGAAGAATTTACATCTTTTCTTCATTTGGCTTTATATTTTTAACACCAGAAAAAAAAAATTTTAAGTGCTTATTTTCAAGAATTTTTGTTATTTGGCTATTATATTATTGGTGTTTGCATAATACGTAAACAAACCAGCTATGTAGCATTGTGGACAAATAACTCGTGTATACAAGCGAAATGTAGGAATTTATTGAAAGTGAAAATTTTGCTGATATTCATAAATTATATTTATTATAAAAAGAGAGTATTGCATACATATACAGAAAATGCTAAATGACTTCAGAGATGAAATAAATTTCCTTCCTCAATCTAAATATGTTGTAAAGATATTGCATATATTTTTTAAATATTTATTTTCATACACATGCAAGAAAAAAATAATCTGGATTTTCTGAAAACTATGTTTGTTTATATTCAAACCTGAATGCAAATTACAGACATTTGACGAATAAGAAGTCAGAGATTATTATTATTATCATAAATGCCTTTTTATAAGAATCGTTTTTAACTACAGAGAGAGGTGGGAAAAGTACAGGCACTTACGTATTACCCCATTAACAGCGAAACTATTACCAAGCAGCACAATTTAACACTAGTTATGGATAAAAATACACTCATTAAATTCTGTGGCTTTGTTTGATGTAATTCTAATTGGTTTTTGATTAGCTATCTTCTGTTCTTATGAACCCAGATATAAATTAACTGTCATTGCTGGGTCCCCCCCCCCTTATTTTGGAAAAAAAAGTGATTAACTTTGGGATCTATCTAACACAGAACAACGCATAATGGATTATTTTCAAAATAATGGGATAATACCATAAAAGAGTGTTTATTAATCAACACAAATGGTCAGCTGAATATTGCCAGCAAAACAGTAATAGACTGGAACAATTACCAACAAGAAGTCTGTCCTGTTGGTATTGTCTGTTCTCATCTGTCCATTCTAATCAGAGCTTTTGGTAAATTGGAAAACCTAACAAAATAGCAGAAATTGATGAAAGCCATTTTAAGGCATAAAAACAAAGTGGATTAAATACTTATTGTTTATTAAATAAAGAGGCATTGGTTCCTTCAGAATTCTACAGGAATGAGTGATGCCTCTCTGGCAAGATCTCTACCAATACACAGTGCTGCAGTATATGACTAGAATGTGAGCTGAGTCGTTTATGACCATCAAAGGGTTCATTTTCAAATGATAGTAACTTACATATTTCATAATAAATGTAAGGAAAAAAACAAAAAATATCAAAAAAACAAAAAAATATCCATTTCATAATTTTTTCTTTCTCGGATGAAATTATGAAAATTTTAACAATGGGCAGTGCTTGTGAAAAAAATAGGAAATGTAAACTAAATGTTCTTTTTTTTTTTAAATAAAAAAAAATCGCAAAAATTACATAAAATAACTAGCGAATTTAACTATGCAGCGTAATTTATGCCCCATGTTGTTTTCTTCCTTTACATCAGTTGATTTTAGTAAGTCTAAAGCCTTGCAATCATTTTTCAAAAATATTTCATGATTTAATTCTGTTAAATGTTTCCCAGTTAAGGAACTTGCCTTTAAACATTAAGTATGCTATATAGTCAAAGAAGACCTAGTAAAGAATATAATCTTCATCAAGCTGAAAGCTTGTTCAGTTTAGTGCTGCTAATAGTAATAGTTTTTACACTGATTTTTATATTACTGAGAATTTCATTAGAAAATGTTCTGTTTCATTAGAAAAATGTAGAAATGTGTTAAAAGCCATCTTAATAAAATCCCAAAAATCATTTGCTTTTATTTTATGTTTCATAACATAAAATTAAATTATTTGGGTCATTTTATCTCATTCATGTTATTTCTTCCAGGTCATGTGTCTCTGGATAACAAATACTAAAAATATCTTTTAATTCTTCACTACTGAGTTCTTCACCATTGTAATTTCATATTTTATAAAAACTGTCCCCCAAAATCTATTTTTAAAGATATATCGAGACAGTTTGATAATTTTTCTCACAGTAATCTGTGAAATTTATTCTTGCTTTCAATTGTTAGTCCCTCATGTTCCTTTGATTTTACAGCAGAATTTATTTCTTCTATGCAAACAAAAAGAACAAGGGACTAGCAAATTACAGCCCCTGCAAGCCCCTATAATTCACCACTGATTATGTATAAATTTTATATATTCTGTAAATTCTCACAGTATTTCAATAGAATTATGAAATTGAATAAAAAATTATTCCTTGGACTAAAATTAGGATCTTTAACCCTCTCAGCGTTAAGGCCGGAAAATTCCGTACAGAAGGTTGCCTTTTAATTTAATTCCATACAGAAGGTTGCCATTCATTATACATGAAAATTTCTGCTAGCTTTTAATGTATCTGATTTCAAATTGGATGTATATTGGAAGAAAAGGAATCAAGGTACAAAATGAAAGAGTCATTTTTTAATTAAAATCAAGAAAAATATCACTTATTCATGACATTTTGAGGAACTTTGAAATTCCAAAATTCCTGAAAACTGGAGTTTTGTTTGTTTGCAATCAAAAATGAGCAAGAATTACAATCATTCATGGAATAAGCAGTCATGGAGTTTCGAAACTTTATTATATTGTTAATAATGTAAGACTAGTGTTTTACAGAAAGAAGGATTTTTTTTTTTTCAAAAATGATAGGAAGCTTCCTATCCTGCCATGGCCATTCCTACCAGCTTTTTAAGCTATAAAATTAAAAGTTAAAAATAAATGTGCATCCTTCTTGCACACATTTAATTCTGTTTTCTTATCTATGCATTTGAAATGAGGAGTAACTGATTTTACTCTCATGATTAACATTTTGCTCAAAAAAAATTGCAGTGCGGTGCACAATGAACTGGAAGTTGATCTGTCAGCACTATCCTTATCTTCAGGGCAGATGTTTTTATTTTATTCGGCTTATAATTCCGTACTAAATGTACTATTTCAACTCGAGGTACTCCATCTTTGATATGATTTAAATCAAATTCCTCGTCATTATAAATATCACGAATACACATCAAATAGTTTTCTGGTTGCAATTTTCTAATTTCGACTATGCGTAATGTATGCTTTACACATACACACATTGAAAGAAATGTTTCATAAAATAAACAAATTAATATTAATTTTTTTTTTTTTTGTTTAAATTTTGCTACCCTTTAGATCATAATTGCTCTTTATTTCATAAATTACAGTTTCCTATTTTAAATTTTATAATTTCTGCATGCCATCTGACTAGATTTAAACTGAGGATCTATAATCCGGAAAAACCGATAATCCGGAATCGCCGAAGTCCCGACGAGTCTGGATTAAAGACTTTTGACTGTATATATATTTGGTGGCATCTAATAAAGAGCTTGAGCAAGTATCTAAATATCCTATTTTTGCATTATGCTGATGACATGCTTATGTAAAAAAATTATATACCAATTTCAAACTCTTGGATGTTGGCTGCATCCCATGTTTCTGAAGCCAAAATATATTCAACTTTATACCCAGTGATTCTGAGTTCATCATTTTTGTGTGCATCATCAGCTTTGATTTCCAGCTTTACAACTCCTTGTTCTTCACCAACAACAGACACTTCAGGAGCTGGCGGTGTTTCTGAAAAATATAATGCATCAAATTTTGTAATAGAATATAAACACTTTCATTAGTTCACTAAAAATACATTAATATTCAGATGTAATATAAAAATTTTTGGTCTCCAAAAAAAAAAATATTGAAACAATTACTTTTATCCATTTTGAAGGAAAAAAAAAATAGAAACGTTTAATCTGAATACTAAAAACTTCTTAAACTCAAAAAAGTAAAACAATCTAACAATAATATCATTACATAACATAAACAATGAAGTTTTTTAATTCTAAATATAACAGAAATAAAATGTATTGTTAAAATTAAAAAAAAAAAAAGAAAGAAATTATGCAAGACTTTGTATCCTGAAGTTCTAAAAATATTAAGTGAATAAATTAACATTACATAAACATTGTAAGAAGTTTCTTTTGCCCACCAGTGGCCAAGTGTCTAAAGTCATTGAACACAGGCAGTTTGGCCCTAGTTCAAATCATAGTTAATGAGCAAGCTGCACAGGCATTTTTGTAGTTTTTCCCATACGTAGCAAAAATACTAGTCATTTTGATGCAAAAAATATTTCTGGGCCCTTATTCTGTATTATTCATAGCAATTTAACAGCTAGGTGGAAAATGCATAATAGAAATTTTTGTAAAAATAATTCTAAAGATTTTTGTTTTTTGTTTCTCAATTTTTAGGTCAACAAAGAGTGAAAACTGGAGCCTTATTCCTGTCATCAGCTGGTTTTTAATTCAGCTTTACTGCTTTGTGGGATCAGTTTTTCCTTTCATCAGGAATGCATTAGGAATAAATATATATATTTATAGAGGAAAGAGGCATGCCATGTAAAATACAGAATTACAAAATATAGAATTAATAAGCAAAGCCATAAATCAGCATATTTATCATTATAATTTTTCATTAATGTAAAAGTAACAAACTTTGATTTCAGCTCAATATTAATCATGCAATCAATTCATTATTAAACAAAATCCTCCAAATATTCATGAAAATTATCCAAACTAAAGAAACTATGAAAAGCTCCTAAAATTATTAAATATTGCATGAACATAAATTATTTGATTTTTTAAAAAACATGTTAGGTTCTTTACGTTTTGGTGTTAGGCAAAGGGTGTAGGTAATTTTCTTAAAATTAAATGCACTGAAATTACTGTGCATCCCAAAATTCCCTTAATCAGCTAGCTATCTTGGTAATTGAAGGGGGGGACAGAAAATGTGAAAAGGAGAAATTAAAATTCTGAATAGAAAGAAATGGAATTTAAAATGTTTCATTCATTTATATTATTGGTACTTTTCTGTTAAAGAGATCCATTTGGTGCTAAACAATTGTGTGTGCATATGTGTATGCATAATCAGTTGTTATATTTAATGAACAGTTTTCATTGGAGTCCCTTTAATGGAAAAGTACCATTATTTTAATATTATTCAGTATTATAATACATGAAAGCAATGTAAATAATTTAATTATCTAATCACGCTTTAAAAGTAGTAATTGATATGTAGTCAATAATGTCTCCAGGAGCATTATTAATCTTTACACTAACTAACTTTCTATCATGTATGGGAAAATATTTGACATATGGCAATAGTGCAAAAGCATTTCTCACATCTCCTTATCCAGACATCAGAGGAATCACAGATGGTCTTGATGTCCTGTCCCTTTGATTTTTCAGCCTTGTCACAAACTTGTCTCCAGAAACTTGGAAATTGCTTTCACAATAAGCTTGGTCAAATGGTCATGAGTACATAACAGCTCATGGCCTTTCATCATTAACAAATTGAAAGCATTCAGTTTGCAGAAAATCAGAATAACATTATGCAACTTAGTTTGAATTCAAATTTGCAGCTTCATTTTTGGGCAGTTCTTGTTGCTACCTATCTGGAACAACACAAAAACAAAGCTGCCACGAACCTTAAGGAGTTCCCTATTGCCTTTATCTATAATAATACTAACCTCTGTTTTTGCTTCGGTAAAAACATTATAAACATGTTTTTATGGAATAAAAAATAACTAATCTATTTCTATTTCTTTTTAAATTTAAAATTTGGATATGTAAATCTAAATCAGCAAAACAGCTAAGGACCAAGTCTTTGGGGCCTATGTGGGTGCTAACTTGCATACATATCCCTATTTATACTAGTAGCTTTCTCATAATCAACTATACAAGAAAACCAACTTTCAATGGTTTAAAATATATATATAAAATCTAAGGAAATGAGAAAGTAAAATGTACACAGACTTTTTATTTACCAAAAGCTGGAATCTTCATAGTTTAATAATGACCATACAAAAATATTCAATTCAGATAGTTGAATTTGAAATAATTGAAAAACAAGTGAATATAAACTAATTAAAAACCAAAAAATATGGGTTAAAATCTTCAATGTATAGTGATCAGTGCAATCAACTATATCAGGGTCAGATCGATGCAATTTAAAAAATTATACAGATATCATTGGCTATTTAGAAACCATCTGAAACTGCTAGCAACTTTCATAATAACTCAGTTTCTAAAATATTTATTCAAAACACGAGCTCTGATGCCAGTATCCCAAGTTACTGTCTAAGTCTTCACAATAAATATTTAATTAAACTAAAAGCACAGGAGGATTAAGGTAAGTGAGCAGGAGGCTTAACAGTTGCAATCACAGAAAATCAGATATTTAATGCACATATTCAAGCTACAGTTTTGTCCAGTTGGGAGAGTACTTACCTATAAGGCAAAAGGTACAATGTTCAGTACTTGTTTGATGAAACATAGTGATTTCAGCAGTCACTGATACAGACAGCACCACCACTACCATCCAGTGTCAGGAAAATTTAAAGGATTGCTATAGATAATGACCAAAAGAAAATGATGCAAATTGCTCCTTTGAAGCTCTACACCCTGCCTGCTCTAACTCAATGCCCCAGGTCTCATGCCCTTCAATTCATCAAGACCATGGAGGTTAGAATAGAAAGAGGGAGGGTTCAAGAAGTGAATGCTTGGCAGCCATATTTCTCCTACCTGTATGCTTCATCATAGTAATGTTTTTAATTTAATTTGTCAACTATGAGATATTGTATTGCATATGCAAGAACAGAATGCCTAAAAAGAATCCTTGAGATTACTTTTCATGTAACTTAGTAAACATGTTTTCAAATATTCATCATGTCATGTATTTTCTATTCCAAATAAAAAACGTACGGGGGATTAATAGTAATCAAGTTATATTAAACACATTTTCTGTTTTTGCTTATAATTAATATCGTTTCTTAAATGCAATTATACATGTTAAGATTTAAACTGTGCTATTTGAACACTTTAAGAATTTTTAGATAATCTTTATGAAAAGAAACTGATGTTTACTAATTTTATGAATTGTAAAAGCACTAAATATAGTACTTTTTCTCTACTTATGTATTATTTATTAAGCATTTTATGTATTGGAGCTTTCATGAATGTAATTTTTGCATTTATTCAAGAAAACAAACTGTTCTTTTATTATAAATTGTTTATATAAAATGTGCTTATGCTTTTATAGCTCTCTATTCAATATAGTGATACAAATAAGAAAAATATTTACTATAATTGAACATTTGAAAAGTTGTATCCAAAAATTTATGTACTTAATTTTTTTAATTGAATTTGAATTCAAATTAATTTCTTCTATCAGGATTCATAAATATAAACAAGTATAAAATAAAATCCTTAAACCTATATTATTTTGTTTTAATATTTATAACTTTCTACTGATAAGTTACTTATATGAAATTATATGTGATAAAATATATATTAAAAAAATAAGTATATTACAGCTGAAAGTTGAACTATAAAGAATACTGGGGGAAAAAAAAAACTTTCCTCTTCCTGAAACATTTTATAGGAAATGATTCTTTATTAAATTATGATAATACTATGCATAAATTAGAATTCTCTGTTTCTAGAAGAGAAAATGGAAAACCACAGCATTAGTTTCACTAATATATTTAGATTTTACATTATTTCTCAATAATTACTAGTATATATATGGTAAATTATAGATACCATCTTCATTACTTTGTGGAGGAAAAACTCAACAACAGAGCGGAATTTCATTGTAAATTTAATACACATTTTTACTTAAAAATACATGCATGGAATATCCTAGAAACAAGTATATTTTATTGCACAAGAGCAATGTTCTGATCTCATAAACATGGCAGCCGCTTGCTAGGCAGGTTTCATTTTTGTATTGTTGAGGAAACTGGCGAACCTCCACGACTTCTACTCTAGCCTCCTTGATCAAGACTTCTACTGGGTCTTGATCAAATTACTGGGGTTCATTATTTGGCATTACAGGCTCATTCACTCTCCAGATGCACCTTCAAGTATTTTTCTGAGTATTAAAAGAGGATTATACAGCAACTCAACTCACAAGAAAAACATGTCATATTCAGCACTCAGACTTGGAGCACAATTTTAGTTAAGTTGCTAAAAATACTGTTTATGAAATAAGAAGTTCAATGTTCATTGACGGAAACTAAGGCACTTCCAACTCTTACCTACAGATGGCACCCTCACTACACTAATGAGACACAAGAGGTGTCATAAAGACTTAACTACTGATTGCTACAGGTATATCTATTCTCACATGCACTGGTCAAGACACATTGCTTTAACAGAAAGAATTACAATAGGCATACTTGTTCTCACACTTATACTAGGATAACTGGATCAAGATTAAATTATATGCAATTTTATAATTAAACAGTTATAGATAGCTAAATTTAAAAAGATGAGGGGCTGGGATCAATTTCTGTACTGAACAATAACTTTTATATTAATAATTTAGATAAAAATTTTAATTTATTTTACATGCAAGGCCAATTTAATGCAAAATTAAGTAAAATAGAATTTATCATTCAAAATTCATTACTGAAATATATTAAATTCAAATATAATCTTAATTCAAAATTAATTTACTTACCTCCCCCTTTTAATTCAATGACCACTTCTTTCTGGCCCATAGGATTACTGGCTTGGCAAATATATTCACCTAACTTATCTTCAGAGTCAACAGTAAGCTGCCAAATCAAGTTGTCATTAGTTAAATGAAACAGTTAAAGATATGTAAATATGTCTAAGGCATATAAATTTCTTTATTCAGTATTATGGAAAAGCAAATTCTACATCAAACAATAATACCAAAAATAAATTTTATGCAATTTTTCTTTTATTTTATATTTAATACAACTCATAACGAAACTAACAAATAAACAAATATTTTTTCAAATATAGTCATTTTCATTTTTCACTTTGGATAGTAGTGCAAGTAAAAGCAAGTAGACATTATGAAATATGAATTTAAATTTACAGTAACCTTTACAGAAGACTCTTTATTTCCATAACCATGATAAATGGTCACTGTAATTTAACCATGGTGATAAGAACAAAACTGTTAAAAATTATAGTTTTTAAAACTATAATGCATGTACATTATATTAGTACACCAATAGATACACATAATAATTTATTTCTTTTTAAAACAAAATACACAATTATTGTAGAAACAATACTTTTTTATACTTGCTTTTAGACCTGAAGAATGTTAAATTACTGAAATAATATACCAGGGCAAACATTAAAATATACTTCATTTAAAGTAAAAGCTAAGAAATATGCAGATTCACCAATCATTATTGATAGATATAAAGTTCATAAGGAGCTAAGGAAAGAGCAGCAAAGTCTGCAGAAGCAAGTAGCCAGAGAAGAAATCAAGCTGATGGAAAAGAAAGGCCAAGATATTGGTTATGGAGGAGACGAAAGACGGCAGTTCTTATCGCACATCTATAGTGAATATATATTGATGATTCTAGAACCAGGCAATGTGTACTCTGGGCATGTTTCTCCATTAATTTCTTCAGGATGTGGTATCAAGGAAGTTGTGCTGACTTTTCTGAATGATGAAAACGTTGATATATTCGACCTTATAGTGGTTGGATGTGGCAGAACTGCAGTGAATACATGAAATTCAAGAGGTGTCATTTCTTTATTAGAGAAAGAGTAGAAGATCTTTGCAGCTGGTGATATGGCAATTCATTCTAATGAGCTACCATTAAGGCACATGATGAATCATCTGAATGGACTGACACTGGGTCCTCGTGCATTTTACGGACCTACAGCTATGAGTTTGGTCAATTGTATACACTTTCCCAGAAATTGATTTTCAACCATTTGAGGAATATCTGCCAGCCATGGGAGAAAATGACATTTTAAATCTCAGTGCACACATCTGTGGCACAAACTTTCTCTACCTGCAATTCTTTCATAAAATTTTCAAGCACATTGGATTCTGGAAGTCCCATTTGATCTCCTATGAGTGAAAGATTTAGATAGCAATCTGAATCCAAAACCTTATTCACCTTTTTCACACAGTTGTGAACATTTTGAATCACCAAAATATTTGCAGTTTTGATTTTAACCCAAGAGAAGTCGCGCGGGGCACAGAGTCACCCCATGCGTCAAAAATCAACGATCCTAACCAGAAATATTTCATTTTAATGAATCATCCTTTTAGTATCCTCCTGTTTGACACTCCCCTTGGAATGTGTATTGTTATTTTTGCTTGTTTTTCTTTTCTGCGAGAGAAGCAATAGTTTCTTGGAATGCATGAGGGAATGGGGTGACTGAGTCACCCTGTGCAACCGTTACTGCTTCGAAATTTTTCATTAGTAGAAGTTTAGCTTCGTGCTCTCGAGTTTTGCCGTTGTGGTTTTGTTGGATTATTTTGATAGCTAATGGTTTACAAACGTAAATTTACCGAACATGAAAAAGAGATGGAACGTTTGAGAACTGTATTAGATGAAGTTGAGTCTTCTGAAGGAGAAATTGATCAAGATAAGTAAAAATGAATCTGATAAAGAAATATCCAGTTCTCACAACAGCGAAAGAGAATTTGAGCAGAATGATGAAGACGACGGAAATCCTGGATTTAGTAAAAAGTATTTTTATTAGCAAAAATAAGAGTTTGGCGGAATGAAAACCAAATCAAAAAAAGTGAAAAAGGTCTTCTCAATTATAATAACTCATTTAGCAGGATTAAAAGAAACTGCACGCAATATAAAGGAGCTTCTAGAAAGTTGAGAATGTGTTTTCAATGCTAAAATGATACAATCCATTGTAGAGTGTACAAATATTTATATTGGAAAAATATTACGACAAATGATGTGGAAATTAGAGCACTTTTTGGGCTTTTACATCTGTATGGCTTGCATAAATCGTCACATAAAAATATGCAAGATTTGTGGGCTACTGAAAATTGAAACAGGCATTGCAATTTTACGGAACACAATGTCATATGAAAGATTTAAATTTCTTCTCAGGTGTCTACGGTTAGACAATGTGACCAATCATGAAGCTCGGAAAAAAAATTGGACAAACTGGCGGCTGCGAGAGAATTTTTTACCGATTTCAATAAAAATTGCCAAAAGATATACCTTATTGGTAAATATGTTACTATCAAAGAAAAATTAGAGAAATTTCGAGGGCGGTGTTCCTTTTGTCAATATATACCCAGCAACGCATCGAAGTATGGAATCAAAATATTTGCCTTAGTAGATTCAAGAACTTTCTGCAGCTATAACATGGAGATATACGCAAGACGACAATCGGAAGGTCCCTTTAGATTTGAAAATTCTTCATTTGAAATTACAAAACGCCTGTGCACCCCTTTATTTGGGCAGAAATGTAACAATGGATAATTGGTATATGAGTTATCCTCTAGCAAAAGAACTTTTGTCAAAGAAGTTAACTATTGTAGGAACCCTGAACAGAAACAAGGCTGAAATTCCCATTAAGTTCATCCAAACAAAAACTAGGAATGGTTATTTATCTATATCTGGGTTCTAAAAGAACACGACAATAGTATCGTATGTGCCTAAAAAATCAAAATGTTTAGTTTTGTTATCTACAATGCATTGCGATGATGCCATTGATGAAAGTGATGATACGAAGAAACCAGAAATAATTTACTTTCATAATGCAACAAAAGGTGGTGTAGATAAAGTTGATGAAATGTTATCATTATATTCGACAGCTCGAAAAACCAACAGATGGCCGATGGTCGTCTTTTACTGTGTTGAACGTCACTGCAATAAATACCCGAGTTGCCTTATTCTCAACAAAGACACCTCCTTTACAATATCGAAATAGTAGAAAATTCCTAAAAAATTTGGCTATATCTCTTATACAGCGCCTCACATAGAGATAAGAAAAAATATGTCAATGCTTCCTAAAGTGCTTCGTGAAAGCATCAATAATGCGACTTCTAGTGTATCAGAAGAACGCCCATCAAAGAAACCAAAACTCGACAAAGGCCGACGTGCTATGTGTCCAAGATCCAAAGACAATAAAACTACAATTTCTTGCAAAATATGTGATAATTTTTCATGTAAAATTCATTCTTCCTATGTTTGCCAGAAGTGTATGTTAGCTTCTGACTCCTGATTAGGTATATACTTATTTTGAATGGATTTTTTTCTTAAATATTGAAATAAGTTTTTTAAGTAAAGAAGTATAGTTTCTAAATGAAATATTGCAATTATTGCTTATAATCAAATGATTTCTATAAAATATATAACACATTTTCCTAATGAAACTGCTTGCGGTGACGCTCTCACCTTGTGCGATCTCCAACGTCAGTGTTAAGTGCACACCTTCTGCCGGGTTAAAAAAATATCTTTTGATAGGTTTTTCTGTATCATTAGCAAGTATCTTGGTCACAGTTTTTTTTAGGTTTAATTCAAAACTTTATCATACATTGCTGCTCACCACTCTTCTCCATTTTGACCATTACAAGACACCCAAACAACTTTCCACTTTGCAAATGATCCACATTCTGTAAAAGCTTAGACCCAACTAATAAAAAATCGACAATTTACTTAGCATCACTGATAAACCTGTCACACGTGAAGACTCTGGCCCTATTCATTCTGACAGGCCCAGGAAAAGGAGTATCTTTACTTTCCGGAAAACCTTGTATGCATTTAAATTATATGCTTTTTGCCATAATATGCTTAAAAGTAAAAACATTTAACAAAAACAGAGGGAAGGAAAGCATTTATTTATAAGCATGGTTATTTTTTAACTTACCTGTAAAACACTGCTGTCTTCACTATTGAAAATCAAACGGTCCTCAGTGCCATTATCAATCTCCATGTCATCACGTAACCACTCAAACATAGGCGGAGGATCAGCAGAAACAGAACAGGTAAGATTTTTTACTGAGCTTATACTTGCAAATGATACAACATGGTGGTCTCCATTGATTTCTGGAGCATCTATATTGAGAAAATCAGTTTTGTAAGACAGATGTAATTTTAGTTTTACATGATAAATATACTAATATTTCACAAATAAAAGCATTCACCTGAACTGTGGAGTGAAAATTAAATAGATGCAAGATGGTTATGAGGTTACAAGCATTTAATTCATAGAGCCATACATTAAATCTTGAAAATAACAAAAAGGCAACTTAGGAAGGAGTTTTTAATACTATATTAATAACTTCACATTAATATACTGGCATCCAAAATTAAAATTACAAACATAAAACATGTGATGTCTTGATAAAATAATTTATTTATTATAATGAAGCTTCGTTCATAGATACCCAATGCTATAAGACAGCCAATAGTATACCAACAAAATACACAGAAAGTTAATATTTTGAGACAAGCAAATGAAGCTAAAAATGGCCAAAACATGATATCTCATATTTCCAGAATGTTCTAACTAATAAGGAGTGTGGCCACTCCACACAGCATTACATGCCTCACAATGGACCCTCATACTATAAATAAGGTTTCTGATCTAATTTTGTGGAGAGAAATCCCTTTCTTAACTGCTGCTCCAACATCCAAAATATTCTTCTAGATCCAATGAAAATTTATATCCAAAGACTTCACTAGCCACACAATACAGAGAAAAATTTCTTCAACCAAAAAAATTGATGACCACTTTAGCTCTATGTGGCCTCACATTATTACGCACAAAAATAAAATACTCTGCAGCTTTCCAGAAAAGCAAGAACCTCATTTCTTTAACACAAGAGAGTGGATCCCAGGCTCTCTCCAGATGAAGATTCATCACAAATTCCCTCTGTATCCCGAATATCGACTTATTACTAAACAGAACATACTCTAATCTTGCTGTATCTATGAGCGGAGTGTCTTGTTTCACAAAATATATACCCTTTTGTGATCAGTCAAGAGTAATACAAACTGCTGGCTTAAGAGCCTTCATCTGTATTCAGTTTTCCCAGAAGCTGTTATTCCAGATGCAGCAGCAAGATTCTGAGAGAGCACTCTATGTATGATCTGTGTATGGTGCTGTGCATTTAAAGCTACATTTCTACATTCAATAGATGTTTTGGCCCTCGGACAGCCTCAACCAGATCTTTCAGAGATGGTACTTGAAATTTGAAATTAATGCCATAACCTAGACCATCATTCAAGAAACTTGTGACTATCAAACAGTCAAGCAAATTCTTATTATGACTGGCCTACAATGTCAATTTCAATCCATCACCTTAAAAACTCAAACTCATTTGAGAAAATTTTTTATTAAAATTGAATTTAAATTGATTAAAACTTGCAAAAACTCATTTTAACTGAAAGCAGTCAATTTACTGATTTCTCTTGCAAGAAACACAATTCTATACCTGAATTTCACAGATTTAGAAAAGAGTCACTTTCATGCTTTTCTTTTTCTTTCTTTCTTTCTTTCTTTCTTTCTTTTTTTTTTTTTTTTTTTTTTTTTTTTTTTTTAAAGCAACCATTAAACATTTACTTCTGATTTACTTTTCCCCAAAATATATATGACAGCATTTTTTAAAATAGTATAAGCAGTTAAACAAAAAACATTGACTCTTTGTTATTTATATAAATACAGTCATTGATCTTTCCTTCTTTGCAGAAACCTGCTCCTGAAGAAGAACCTGGGTTCTGATCATCCTCAAAATCAGTATTATTTAAAATCTACACCAAAATAAGGTTGCTATTTTGCATAGTTTCAAGTTTTACATTGGCATGTTTCTCACAGTGTTTCATCACTCAAAAATACATGTATGGCATAATTATTCCTTTCTCTTATATCTTTAGTCAACATACAATAAACTTCCTCTAGCATGACCAGCCATGGTTTCCCATGCTATTTTGGTCGTCCGCACAGTTGGTCTCTTTAGCAAGCTGATGTTCATTAGCAATATTTGTTTATACTTTTAAGAAATACTAATCATTTTCAGAGGTGGTTGCCTTAGAGATGTTATGGCTTTTTTGATCAACACCAAAAGATTCAATATAATCCATTTATTTGCGAATTGATAGTAAATATTAAAAGTTGTAAAATATTGCTATTTTCTTTACACTGCATTGCTTATAAATTCAAAACTTTAGCATAAAAAAACCAAATACCAGCCTCTTTAAAATTTTGTCCAAGACAATAAAAAGAACACTTATTAGAGGATTCTTAATTTGTAAAAGCTTTTTATAAATATCAGATGGAAATATACTTTTCTACAATTCTAGCAAAATTCATATTTGAGGAGGTTAAAATATTGTCATTATGGTTCAGTCTTAATTTTCTTAACTTTATTGTTTTAACTTTTTTAAGTATAAAAATTATTTTTATACAGAATGCATCTGGTACTTATATAATGTCGTATTTTGATAAATATATCAAAACATATCATTTTACAAACTGCATTATTTCTGCAAAAATCTGCATTATTTCAGTCATATACTAACATTGCACATGTAATGTGATGTCCAGATCCTTTACTTGTGAAATCAAAGCTGTTATCACAAATGCACTGCACTTGTAAATTCCAGCATCAGCTCGAGTTAAATTATGGATAGTCAAGTGATTTCCTGATATATTATACTTCTCACCTGAAGAAGAAAATTGAAAATAAAACTTGTAGAATTTAAAAATATAATAATATATACAGGAAAAGTACAGAGCATAAACAAAAGAAGAAAGCACTTATATATAATAATATATAAAAACTAATTAATTCTTACTTTTACTAATAATTCTAATAATTACTAATTAATTCTTGCTTTTACAAAGGCACGAAACTCATCACCGGCAGCAGCAACTGTCTTAGTTTCTTAGAACCATTAACAAGTTTACTTCTCATGCTTACTGTGTGCCCAAGTTTTAAAGGTGGTATCACACCAGAAAAAAAGCCCCCTTATACTTTTAAATGCCCAGTCTTCAATTGCAGTGCAGCATGAGTTTTATGCATGGATTAAAAATGAGCTTCCAATGTTACTCTCTAACAATCAATGCTTTGTGTCCAGTGTCCTCCAATAAAGTATACAGCCTTTTTTTCTTACTTGAATTAATTATAAGCAGCAACAAATATTAAAAACTAGACACCCAACTCACTATCAAACATATTCTACAACTGGACAGAGCTCCTCTCCTTTCATATCGCTCTGAGAATATTTTTCAGCAATATTCTACTGTGCTAGACTGGGCATGCTGTAAATAGAGAAAACAACCATAGCCACCTCCTTTCACAGATCTTGCATTATGAAATTTCTTTGTTTAGGAGTTCATTAAAGACAGCATTTAAGTATCATCATTGTCCACATGCACCCACAAGCCTAATGAATAGATAACTAATGGACTGCAGGCCATTATAATGGAGAACATACCTGATTGAGATAGATTTAATTACTATGTGGCTGCATAATCCAAGATGCAGACATTAAACAATTGCAACTAACAAAGAAAGTTGAACAATTACCACTACTGATGATATACATTGTGTCTGAATAAGATAAAAAAAGTATTTTTTATAAACTTTTGGAACTGCACCATTCTTTCATGCATGCCTTACACTTTATGTTAATATTCTGCACATTTTTTATTATAATTCTAAATAATTTCTAAATATCAACCCATCTGACATTTTCAATTATAGATTGCTTCACATTTTTCACAGATAGCTTAACAATCAAAGATATAATGCGAGAACTTTTGCAGCAGACGTTATTGAGAAATTATATCTTCTACAGCAGAGGTTCTCAACTTTTTCCCCCATGCACTCCTTTCATCATTGCTAGACAATAATGCCTCCCTGCCTCCTTTCCAAAACTCAAAAAATACATATCAATTTTAATTTAGATTATTTTTTAATGTGTTTTACAATTTAAACAAGATAAAACAGAAAATGTTAATAAATAACAAAAATTCAATAAAATCAGATTTTTATATTCATAAACTAAAACTAGATACTTAAAACAAAAATAAACTGACTGCATTCTCCGTAAAACTATGAAATTTCCCCCAAGGCGAATTCCCCTGGTTACATCTGTTCTAGACTGTAAATTTAAAAAATTTCATGTTGTTTTTAAAACAATTTTTATTAATCTAATAATTGTTTTAAGAGCTAAATTTAGTAAACCTGGAATAGAATTTTATAAATAAGATATTTCCAAATATACAATGCTTTGATTTAACAATAATAAAGAAAATTGTTGTAAAAAATTCTTCCCCCAGTTACAGAACTTAATTTTTTTTTAAATTATTTTATTATTTAATAAAGCAGTAGAATTTATAAACAAAATTAAATGCTTTAACATATAAATTTGTTTGCTAAACAATCAGAATTATTTTAGCTAGTTTACTCAGAGAAGTTTACTGAAATTTGGAGCCTTTTGCAATTGCAGTTGTTGTGGGCTCCCTAAACTGGCTCTGGCTACACACAGGATGGAACTTTCTTGTTCTAGCACAAGCATATCAGTCATCTCTTCACCCAAGCCATATAAAGGCCTGACTGATGAAATTTATTAAATATTATAAAAGCTGAGATAAAATGATTAACCTGGCCAAAAATGAAGATGGAATAAATACTCAAAATTAGTATGGCAGTGAACCTATATACATGCTAGACCTTTAAAATGAAATAATGATGTTACTAAATTGTATAAACACCTTATAAAATCATCCCTTGTTGTTTGACTTCTAAATTAATACCTTGTAAAATATTAACAAATGACTTACTAAAATTACAATATTCAAATCCAGTGCAAGATGCTAGACTTTTTATATGTGTCATGGGGTATTTTATGTAATTTAGTAGTAGCAATGCTACTACTTCATGGGGTATTTTATGTAATTTAGTAGTAGCAATGCTACTACTAAATTACATAAAATACCACATGAAAGTAATATCTTGAAAATATCTTATTGAAATTGCAATATTGAAATTTACTGTAATAATGTCTTATATACTTCAGATTAAAAAATTCATAAAATTGGAATAACTAATGCTATCTTAATGTATTTCTAATGTTCTAATGTATTGATTTGAAGGTGAAATGCATGTAGTTGATGATGAAAATTCACAACACAGCATATCTTCATCAGCTTAAAAATAATTAAATATTTAATTTTGCTGTATAAGTAAACAAATAATTTAAATTCATTCTACTTACTAGCTGCAATTTTGCTTCCATTGAAGTACCAGTTTATATTAACCTTAGAATCTGAATGAGTATTACACATTACTATGCCAGTCTGTCCTTCAGCAGCATGCTGGTCTCTCTGTGTATCGGTAAAGCTGATAGATCCTATTGAAAAAATTTAAATATATATATATATATATAATGAACAGAAATTTAAAAAATACAGTGTGATAAAAATATAATCAATAAATTATCCACAGATAGGTATTTGTTCTTCCATGAAGATAGCTGATTTATGAAGGTGATGCTCGATACTGGTGTTGATTTAATGCTTTCAGGAAATACTGGTTACTTTCAGAGGCAGTTGGTATCAGAGGGTCCATTATATTTTCAAAAGCTATGAATGCTATCCACTTATCTTCTTACATTGTCGATTTAAATTTCTGTTATAGCATTTTTAATGTCTTTTGTTCTGTATATGTATTTTTTTCATTATAATTATTATTATAATTAAGACTTACAAATTTTAGTTCTCTTGTTACATTTTCAAGATTACCATGAATATTTTCCATGAATTTCATATTACAGTCAAAAGTCGTTAATCCGGACTCGTCGGGACTTCGGCGATTCCGGATTATCGATTTTTCCGGATTATAGATCATCAGTTTAAATCTCGTAAGATGGCATGCAGAAATTATAAAATTAAAAATATGAAACCGTAATTTATGAAATAAAGAACAATTATGATCTAAAGGTATCAAAATTTACAAAAAAAAAAAAAAAAAAAAAAAAAAAAGAGCTTGATATTTATTTGTTTACTTTATTAAACATTTCTTTAAATGTAAGTTGTTTAAGTTGCTTCGTTTTATGTGATAATACTTTCTCTTTAATTCTATAAACAGACATAATTTCTTGTTCAGTTACAAAGTTCCGCTGTTCAAGTCCCGTTAATTGGTGTGCCGAGAATACCGACTAACTTGTCAATCGAATTTTTTTTTTTTTTTTTGTTTTTGTTTTGTTTTGTTTTGTTTTCACTAACCTCTCTGTCACATTCTTCATGTCTTTATCCATTTTTTGCAGCAATTCCACTTTTTGCTTGATGGACATCGAAATATACTTTCGTTTTGTACGATCCTTTGGGGAGCTCCAGAATCGGAAATTCTTTTTGACATAATCGAAAGTTCAAGTTTACTTTTATAGTATTGCTCTTGCAGTCTGCAAAAAATAATAAGCCGGATCCAATTCGAAAATTAAGGAACAACGCAATCATCAACATTAACTGAAATAGATAATTCGATAATTTTAGCTTATAACGTCCGTTATACATAAAACGCGCACGCGAAAACGTATTCTGCACTTGCGCACAAGCATATGCGCAGACGTAAAAGGTCTTACGCGCACGCGTGAACGCCTATGCGCATGTGTCAACGCGGCGCATGCGCAGAACGTTTTTAGCTTTGATGTCCGGATTATAGGTCATTCCGGATTATGGGTGTCCGAATTAACGACTTTTGACTGTATTAATATTTTTAATTTATCTTCTATTCTATTTTTGTACATGATTATAACTAGAGGTTTCTGTTTTATCTTCTCAATTTAAAATTTTACTCCTGCAAGAAAAATTCAAATTAATTTCTTATATAATTATTTTTTATTCACATAAGTTACATTAAATACCAAAGAAACTCAAAATTAAATTTTCATCCTTTTGTGAAAGGCCAAAAGATTCACATTGAATTATTTTCCTTTTCTTTTCAGTGTCAAAATATTATTATGAATTTTAATAAATAACTCTAAATGCTTATTTTGTTATCAGTATTTAAATTTTGTTTCAAAATTTTTTTCTTGAAAGGCAACTTTGACTTCTGTATGACAAAAAGTGACTGAAGTATTTAATTTTAAAGTTTGAAATCATGTTCAGGGGTCCTACATAAACTGAAGAACGAGATGTTAGGTCTGCTATGCAGACTGTTGAGGAAAGTACTGATCAACATAATTTTTTAACATATTTTTTAACTTTTTTCAATTATTCACAAAATTACATAAGAAATGTACTTTAGAAAACAGCAGAAGGCTTGACTCATTGACAGCAGCACTGACTCATAACCTTCTCCTAACATTATTTTTTTAACTAAAAATGAAAAATATTTCCAAATCAGTAATTTTTGTGCTGTTATTAGATTATGATATTAAAATAATGAAACTGCATTTGAAAACATACAATAAATTATTTGTGTAAAAATACATGTATACATGTACTATATTAGCAACATGTACTATATGCAAATACATGTACTATATGCAAATACATGTACTATATTAACAAATCTTAAAAATATATCATTGAATGATATCAAAGGGGAGGGGGAATCAAACTCAAATTTTTTTTTAATCTTTTCAACTGATATCTCAAAGAAAACCAACAATATCTGAAAAAATCCCAGCCCTTGACCGTTTAATATCTCGGTCAAATTTTGCAAAACAAAAATAAATTTTTTTGCTTTTTAGTCCAAAGGGATTTGAATCCCGAAGGACTATTAGTTTCGTTTTGGCATTTTGCGTCGGACGGATAAATGTCGGTTCACTTTTCAAACTGTTGCCATAAAATGTTAGAGTCCTGCATTATATTTGAAGAAATTAAATAATGAAAATCTGCGTAAATGTATGTATATTTCTCACATTGTCATAAAATAACGGTACATAGAGTCATCGAATTTTGAATAACGTAATCCTCCAACGAATATGAGCATGTGGAAGACCAAATTTGAAATTTGAAATTTGTTTTATGATCGATTTCCTATTTTTTAAAACTTTGACGAATTTTTGATTAACAAACTCAAGGATTTCAAAGCGAGCAATGGCAACGTTGTGCAGAAAAAAAAAATTTTTATCTCCAGCGCGTGAGTCTCTGTATCGGAAATTTCTAAACATATGCTCGTTTTAAAAAACTATTTTGCGATATTGCTGTTGCACTGGATCTTATGGTTTAAGTGCGAGGAACATGATATTTAATAAAGAAAGGTAACACACAAAATGTTAAAAAACGCCCCTTTGGACGTAATTTAAAATCTGAAACATTTCAGATTTTTTTTTTTTAATTATTTTTTACAATGAGTAAAAACATTTATTAAATATAATTATATAGACAAGGAGATAGGTGAAAATGTTAATACAGTGTAATTTTCATAAAATCGATTTCTTAAATTTAAAAATACCTTTACATGAACATTCTTGTGACTGGTAACATATATTTAAAACATTCTTGTGACTGGTAACATATATTTAAGACAAACGGCTCGAAAATAAAGGAAGCATAGTCTTTTATGAAAAGATGTGTAGAAGGTAGTTAAGTTTGTTGTATCAGCAAAGCTCTGAGAAATAACACACGTATCTCCCATTAATCAGAAAGAAATATATGTGAGAATAAAATAAATACATAAAATGAGGTTTAAGTGAATGAAACATAAAGGAAAACTGCAGAAATTAGGTGAACGGGCGTCATCCTGTCTATGAAGCCACAGTCGCCCTATTGATCGCCTAATTATTTCTATCGAATTTAGTTCCCATAGGAACAAGCTCGGAGAAAAAAGAAACAGATCAACTATTTCCATTTTGCAACAATTTTTTATTGTAACTTATATAATATCACATTAAATATATTTATCCGCTGAAGGAGATCGAATAAATAAAGCATTAGCTTTCTCATCAATTCATAACATTTGTCTCCCGTGCAAAACGATGTATAAATTAATTCAGACTGTTAAAATATACTATTCCCGGTGCCTATTTAATCCGGGGCCCGATTTTCAAAACTGCAGAAACTGGACAAAACATGTTATGGAAGCTGTCCTCTAGTGTTTTTCACGTAATGAATGATACTGATGCAAACTATATTTTACATAAAGTATTTCGTTTAAAAAAAAAAAAAAAAAAACACTTATCAATCAATATTTTTCTTTTAGAGTTTATCTATAGAAAAAAATATATTTCACCCTTTCAAGTAATTTGTTATCGAAGTTTTAACTTAGTACTGCAGAGTGGTTCCATTATGTTGGCGATACTTTAGTTTCGTTTGAAGGTAATAATGAGGATTTAAATAAAGTTATCTTATTAATGAATTCCATTGATTCTACTATCCAGTTAACTTTTGAACTTCATCTACTTCCCTTCTACCACACTTCACATCCTGTCGTTCGACTAAACAGACGTTCACCTCCTTTTATTCCTTCGCTTTCCGAGTACATTAAATTTGCTCCTGAAAGTCGGTCACTTGATCAAGAATTAAATCGTTTAAAACCAGCTACTACTGACAAAGGTTTTTTCCCTAGAGTTATTGACCAAGAGGATAAAAAATTCTCATCTTAAAACAATAAAAAGCAATTTCTCGTTTTAGGAAATTATAAGAATTCTGTAGTCATTCCTTTCCTTCCATCGATTAGTTATTAAATTGCACGCATTTTACAAAAGTGAAAATTAACGTTTGTGTCCTTTTTTTCTTCTATCAATAAAATTTGCAGTTTCATACTTAAAGATCCCATTTCATATTTAAAGACTTCCTCAGGAGACAAGAAATCCTGAGGTATATACAGTATTACTTGACAATGCAATTTAAATTTAATATACAGCGGTCAAACTAAGAGAGACTTAAAATTTCAACTAAGAAACATTACACCGTCAAAGAACAAGAAAAACATGAATTTTATGTCGTCTGTTGGTCAAAAAATTCCACTTTACATTTTTCTGTAGACAAACTATTCGAAAAACATCGAAGGACGGCGATTTAGATTATTTACTGGAGTTTCACATTCATGTAAATTTTTCAATTCTAGTTAATGATTTCAACTCTATGTCGTCTTTACATTCAACGTTTTAAGAAATTATTTCACAGTTGTTTTTATTTTGTATCTATAGACAGCACCAGTAGCTTTGATTCTTTTATTCTGATTTGATTGATGAGATTAATTTAATCTGTAAAGATTATTAAATGGCTAATTTTATCATTGAATTTTTAATACAAATTAAATGAAATTAGAAACTGATTTTGTAAAATAATTTAATTATGAATACTTCAGTTTGGGGCTATTGTATGTTTAAAAATGATCGAAAGATTTTTAATATCTTAAAAATAAAAGCAAAATTTTCTGTTATAATATTTTGTATTAATA